ATCATTTTCAATTAATGTAGGGATTCCAGATTGTATTTTATTACCATACAGTGATTTCACTAACCCCCACCACTTTTTTGGTCCAATATTTGGGTTCTGTAATTCTACATTAAGATTTGCAAAGTATCTTTCCTTGCTTGAACGTATTAACGATGTGGTATAATTTCTTTGCGATCTGTAAATTCCCATGCCACTAAATTTTTCAGCCGCCCAAATACTTTTAACAACCTATTTCTTTTGCGAATTGCACGCCTAATTTCAGAAGTCATCCAAGGTTTATCTCTTGGACGAATTACAACTGTTCTGTGCGGAACAAACGTTTTAAGTACTTGCTCAAAACAATTAAACCACTCATTATATAAATCATCAACATTTTCAACATCCTGAAATAAGTTGTCCCAGTTCACCTCCGACAAGGCTTGACATAACGTATTAGAATCTACTTTGGCTAAGTCCCGAATGTGTCGTTTATAACATTTTTGTTTGGCAAAGGAAATGTTTATCCGAGCATAAATTAAAGAATGGTCACAATTATACGGAGGGCTTAAAGTACCAGAATTAACAAAATATCCCGGAGAATTTGTTATAATTAAATCAAGTATTGAGGCACCGTGTGCTGTTATACGAGTTGGTTCGTTTATCACTTGAAAAAGACTATTGCACTCCATCCACCTATAAAAATTTATTCCGAAGTCACTACTAGACTGAATATCGTTTAGTTTAGTTTAGATTATTAAAAGAGGATATATAAATATATAAAGAGGAAAGCAAAGATTTTTATGAGAGAATTGCACAATCGTTATTTGAAACTCGAAGTTTATCGATAATAGTTAGTTTATATAGTTTTCTGAACTTTTTACAGTAAAACGTTTTGCGAAGGGCATGTGGCTGAATTTTACATTAAATTTACGTTTATATCACGCATAATAACATACCTAACGTTCATATTTGGGAAATTGATAATTTTGTAATTAATCATGAGAATAGGTACGCAGTGCGTACATGTGGCTAGCCATTTGAAAGGATAATTGAAAGTTTATAGAAATAAAATGACCTTCGGGTGAATATTGATAACATGTATATATATAATTTTAATAATACCTATATATTACAATAGATTTTAGAACACTAGTTCAACCTAGTATAATACCGGGTGTCCCAAAAAAAAACTTGCTCTGTTCGATTTGATGTAACGTAAAAACTATAAAAGCTATTGCACTCAATATTGTATTCAGAAGGGGCTAACTTCGATTTTGATGTATAACATTTGAATATCCGTGCAATATTTACTGAGCTATCGATGTTTTAAATCGAATAAGCATACTGATTTGACAATGTTTAAAAATCTTATTTTATTGAGAAGCGTCCAGATCAGTGGCGTAGCCAAAGGGAGGCTCTGCCAGCCCAATGCATGGCCAAAAGGACTGCCCTTGTGAAAAGCTGAAATCCGGGCAGAAGTTGGAAGTTACGATGTGTGAATAATGATACCCAACTCTTCTGTTTACCAATAAATGTAGTATTCCCTATGGTGGTTGAAAGCACATTTGAACTTGAATTTACATAGAAGCAGTCATGACCGACGTCAAAGTTCAAATATGGCAGCCAAATGAGCTTCATTCTTTTTATGACAATATAATTTGCACTTCAAAAACGAAGACATCGTGCTATTTTGCTGTTGTACTTGTGTGTACAATGTTTTACAAAAATATCTTTTCGATCTAACAACATTAGGCGACTTAAAAATGGCTTTTTGTGGTTGTAACTTTTCTTCAAACCTCATCCTAAAATACGTGAAATAGCGTTCTAATGAATATAGAAATTCAAAATTTTCTGGACCCCCCTATACACTCCTCGCGCCTTTGGCGCTCGTATTCGACAAAATGCCATAAAAATTTTGCCCCGCCCCAAAAAAAAGTTTAGACCCCTGGTCGTCTTCCATACCACAGTTTTTGTTGCTGATCTGGATTATTTTGTTGGTACTGCTTGATGAGTAACTGGTTCATTTAATTTAATCAGTTTGCATTTTCCAATTTTTACTTATCAGCATTATCCAATACCAAGCACCACTTGATACATTATAAGCGGACCAATCATTAAGGCCCGTTTACACTTGCAATTTTTGCTGTGATTTTAGGTGGGATTTTCTTCCTCTGATTGATGTGAACGAGTGGATAAGTGGATAAGATGAGGGTACATGTACTCCTAACATTCGTAACTCATATACTCGTTCACATCCATTAGAAGGAGAAAATCACACTAGAAAGCGCAGCAAAAACGGAAAAACCGCAAGTGTAGACGGGCCTTTAGGGTATTTCCATTCAGCACATTATCCAGTTGTATAAATTTAATTTATTTAAAGCAAGGTGCCATTATTTTGAGTTTAAATTTTGGTATAATGTTTAAAAAATAATATTTCTGTATTGTACATAAGTGACATTGAAGAATGAAGATCAAATGTCGGGAGTATTACTGACTAACCTTAGTGGTGTTAGCCTACTAAAAAAATCAATCGCTTTTTTTACAACCTTGCTAGTTAATATGCTCAAAATGGGTGAAACACAATTATTGCGGCTAATTTGGTCTGCAAATGGGAGATCATAGCTAAGGTCATGTATCGATTACTGATGATAATTCACACTTATAGGCCTACCTTTATTGAGTTAGTACTTTACCGTTGTTCGGCAGCTTTTTGTTACTTGCATGGTCACTATAATATATGCATAATTGCATTATTTTGCCGAAGGCACACACTGTTGGAAGTTGAAATTTGGCAGGATCAAATATTTTGGATCCGGAAGCCTGCTGCCGGGAAAATATTTTATCAAAGTCCGGATTTAAATTCCTATATAAATTCCCATGCTTTTTCTATATATTTGTGCTGAGGTTATAGGTTATAACTATTTCTCTATGTAACTCTACATACCGCACTCGGAATAAAATATAATGCAGGATGTATAATAACCTAAACCAGGTTAATATTACACTAAATACGTCGACTTTGTTTTGCTTCTAGCGATCGCGACAGGTCGCAAACGTCCTACCGTTTTCTCACATTTTGCAATTTACAACATCGTGTGATACAATTTACTGTTTAGATGAAACCATTAGCCATACGAAGTAGAAAGTGAATTATATTGCGTGATTTCTGGCCCTGTACATACTAAGCAACGCTCGGTTTAAACGTCGATGAGACTTTTTTGTAGAATATTCAATGGAGGTTAATCAGTTGGTTTAAACTATTAAATGGCCGTCCAACGTTCACAATATTATTTTGTGCTATAAACTATTAAATAAAATCTATTCATTGAGTATGGTCCATGGAAATTTATAAAAATTGCTTTGTTTCTAGGTTTCATTGTCAAAATTTAATGAACTGGAATATGACGTGGCGTATGTGTTGAAAGAAATGGAAGACTTAGAAAAACGAAATATTTTAAAAATTCAAGACTAGTAAGAATTCCACGCGCCTTTCTTATATATAGATGGAAAACTGAAGTAATTTGAAATTACCGCAGCCTCGTATCTGTACCTACGCAAGGGTATAGAAATTTGTGACTGAATAAGGCATTGAAAAGCATATTATTAATTATGGACTTTCTTGTGTTGTTAATGATCAAGAGCAAGGCTTGATATTTGTTTAATGAAAACGACATTTTGCAGTTTACCCCATGCATTGGCAGGTTAAAAATTATACAATATATTATCTAAGCAACTTTTAAGCTGTCTAGACAATATATTGTTAGGCAACACAAAAAAGGTCTTAATTTATTGTCTAATTATTTTAACATAAATGATGCATGCAGGCGGTTTAATTTGTGCATAAAGCAGGAAAATAATATGTCTCAAACATTCCCGAGGGCGAGATGCCATTTAACAAAAAAACTTATTTCTGTGACAAATCATATCTGCTTAGAGAATTTATTACAAATTATAGTGTGTACACAAGCATAGCATTTTTAATTAAAAACAAAATGTTCTCCATGTCAATGGGGTGTATATAATATAGTTCTCTTGTTTAATTAGATTTTTTTTCAATTATAAAAAGAAGACTTTCGTTTAACATTTCTTAATAGAACTATATAGTCAAAGTTTCAAATCGTCATGACTATAAGTTTGTACTTTGTTCGCAATTTACAATTTTATTCTGGGACCACGAATTCCTGCCCATCCTTGCACCTATAACAAGTATATTTCACAATGTTCAGAATAAGTAAATGTTTTCCAATCATACTAATAATTAACGGAAACTCACGCGATTGTTTGATGTTTCCATCGATTATTTTCATAAAATATGCACAATGTCGAACGAGCAATCATTGTTGTAATTTGTTACTCAAGACTCACTGAGGGTATCGTTCGCCTTTTATTCTATAAGCTTGACCTTCAGTCGGATAAAGATTTTCTTAGTATGATTGTACACATAAGGTAAGTTAAAATCTAGCTTTCTGCATTTCGTATATAGGCCAGAAATAGTACTTATAAATAACCATGACATTAAATGAAAATAACAGTGGCGGTTAAGCCCATTTTCCACTATATATAGGCGAATTTGTTCGCGTGAACAGTAAGAAAGTAAGAACTGACTAACTTTTTCGCGGCTAATTTTTTTGCTGACCAATCACATGGCCATCATTTGTTTTTTGCTTCGCGCGAACAAATTCGCCTAGTGGGAATTGGGTTTAACAGTTAACATGCATAAAACAATAGGCCTACGAGTTACAGTATATAAGCAACAGAAACGATAAGATATACCTGATTAACAATTTATTATGCACTATGACACATAATGAAAATACTGAACATGAAAACGTCTATATATAACAGACAGTGTTTTGTCATTTTATAATAAAATGGGATTGTCTTTATTGCATGTTCCTGAATCATTTGAATTATACTTTCTAATTTTTTCTTAATTTTTTGAAATTCTTTTCAGTTGACTTAAACTTTTATATCTTACTAGAACATGTCTTACAGTTTTCTTCATCAGTTTCATCACTATATGGTTCATCTTTCAATGGGAATGTATTTCCTTGTGGACAAAAGCAAAGCACTTCATGATAAAGCCCTCCATGATCACGCATTTCGCAACATAACGGTGGGGCTGTTTGTTGAAT